CAAACTACGTTATCTTGAGATGATTTCGGGGCTTTTTAGTGTCCCCGCGGCCCGGTCCTCGTCCAGGCCTCCACCCCCAGGAAGCAGCCCGTGACAGCTGACTAACACCCAGGTACCTATTTTACTGCTAGGTAACAGGGGCATAGGGTGAAAGAAACTCTGCCCAATGTTTCTCGCCGGCGCCTGGGATCGAACCCAGGACCACAGGATCACAAGTCCAGCGTGCTGTCCGCTCGGCCGACCGGCTCCCTCTCGCCCTCCCTCGCTCTCCCTCCCGACTGGCCTCTAGGTAATAAATGAAATCAAAGAAAAAGTTGAATAATAAACATAGGCAAATTTAAGCTAATGATTATTAACTATAAATAGTTTAGTTATGATCCTATAATTAATAAGACCTGAAGAAATATTAATGCACTCAATTAATTAAGTCTAGTAAATGACTAGTTAAGAGTAAGTTAAAAATTAATTTAAAACGTGAAACAAAGAGACTTATGATACCTAGCCCACACTAGGTGACAAGGGGGGGTTAACTATGTTGACTCATTGAGAGTGATAATAAGGTGAGACAAACCACATTGGGAGAGGAAAGTGTTGAGTTTCTCTTCATTAGCAATTGTAAACATTTTACCTACTGAAGTCTTTCTCACTTTAATCAAGCCATCTCTAACGAAGCACTGATGAATTGCATCTGGGTTTTGATGACGGATTTGACGCAGGCGGTGGAGGAGTTGCTGTCTTTTTCTAGTCAAGTACTCATTGATGTATAATCCCTTCCGTTGGGATGCAGCTGTCCGAACAAGATAAGATTTCATGGACTGGAAAGTCAGCTTCAGGCGAATTTTCAGCTGGTTTTGTCCTGATGGATTCTTTTTGCCTACTCTGTAGGCAGCAATAATGTCACTTTTGTTTAGAGTGACCTGCAATTCGTTTTTTATGAGAGCCTGAGCTATATCAACACACTTTTCACCTTCACGTTCCACAGGTATATCTTGGGACTACACGATAACAGAGTCTAGCAGCTTTCGTTGGTCTTGTTCTTCCTGGGAGACGGAACGTTGGACGGATAATGTACTGATACATGCAGTCATTTTGCTGAGAGCTTCCTCCTGTTTTTTTTATCGCTTCATCAGTTTTCAGAAGATTGTTTTCCTCACGGAGATCATTCAAGTCATGCTGGAGTTGGTCTTGGCTAGCCTTAAAGTTTCTAATATCCTCGCGGAGGAGGGTTTTTTCTTGTTGTTGATGTTGGAGATTCGCGCGGTTCGGTAGATTCTCATTTTGAAGACTCAAAATGATAGCATTTTGAGACTCAAGGACTAGGCACAACTTTTTGAACCACTGATTCTCGGTCCAGTTAGGGAAATCCGGCGAGGGACCGGAAGCTTGCTTGAATTGCGTAAACTGGGATGTTAGCATGGTAATGGGAGAGGATTGAGAGGACACCGCTCCCTGGCTCAATGGGGTGGAGGGGAGGGCAGCACCGCCGACACAGGCCCCAGAGCTTCCAGAGGGAGAAATACGATGGCTGTTGGTGTTAGTCGGGATAGATGCCTTGTTAGGGGCTTTGTTGCTCGTATTTACCTGCACATTCCTGTTCCTGAAAGACATGATAGGCCGTGAATAACAAACCAACACTCCTGTCCAATAACGATGGTCAGCTTTCAACCTCTGATTCTGCTATTGAGTTCAATAGGTTCTTCTCTTCCATTGCGTCATCCCTTGCAAATGATATTCCATCTTCCAGTACTGACGTTAAGGACTATCTTACAGGTAACTATCCACAGTCTCTGTACCTAAAGCCTACTAGTTCCACTGACGTTAATGAGATAATCCTTTCCCTTAAAACCAAGTCTAATGCCCTTGAGGAGATACCAACTTTAATTTACAAAAAAGCCTCCAGATCTTTAGCCCCTGCTATTGCATTGCTCTTCAACAAGTCACTTGAACTCCAAACCTTTCCAAATATTCTAAAAAAAGCGAGAGTAACCCCTGTCCACAAATGTGGTGATCTCACAGATGTTAACAACTACAGACCTATATCAATCCTGCCTAACTTGTCAAATATATTTGAAAAACTAATCTACAAGCAGCTTTACTCTTATCTACCCAAACACAATATACTTAGCTTTGTCAATATGGCTTCAGACCCAAAAAAAGCACTAACGATGCACTTATTAGTATGATAAACTTGATTCATGCAGCTCTTTGTGAGAGGATGGTCTCTCAAGATTCTCCCACAGCTGACTTGAATGGCTCATTGCAGTGCACAGTGCACCGATCTCGTGCACAAGCCCTATCTCTGTTAACCCTGGATAGTAAACTGTCATGTTGGGTATCTCCAGGATGCCCACTTAACCAGGAATACGTTTATAATACGGAGGCCGCCGTATGTCCAGGCAGGAAGTAGATACAGGGAGTTAAGCATACTTGCCACAAGGGTCAGTAGGAACATTGGCTGGTGCGAAGCGTGAGAGAGGGGACGCCAGCGAGGTGACAAATCTGACCTCTGGGGTCAGCCTCACCGGGTCCGGTGCGATGGAGAATAACAACCGAGACGTGTTCATGACGTCACCTCTGCTACTGATCAGGGAATGATCAATATGATTGGTTCCCGCTCTTTTGCTGCAATGTCATTGGTCAATTGTAACCCCTTGTGTGTGTCCCACGAGATGCCCTGCATTCTTTTGCAAGAGCATTCACGTGAGGGAGCCCGTACATAGAGGACGTGTCCTGTTCTGTCTATCGGCCAATAGACAGAAGAACACCGTCTATTCCTCACCGTCAAGTTAAACTCAGCGTCTTTTCGATATACCAACGCTCGCCCGGAATCGCGATCGTGACTATATTGTTTAGAAGCCTAGTGACAAATCACCAGAGCGAAACAGACTGGTATCAGGTAACCCCTGGTGACAACTGGAGATCGTTGTGAGTGACCTAGAGTGAACTAAGGAGTGCCGCTGCCTAAGTAATCTGTGTGTGACTTTTACCACAGTGTACCTGCATGGTATCATATAATCAGCCGCCAGCCGCCACTCGGTCCAGAGCGTGTAGCTAGAGCCTCAAGCCACTACCGCCCTGCCTCACTGTACCACGTGACGTCACCACTCTTACTCACCGCCAGTGCCATCAAGTGTGTGCGTGTGTCTGTTGACATACAGCGCGCCCTCCTGCGAGTACCCTCCGTGTCAAGTACGGTTTGTGGGAAAGCCTGTCGCCGAGCGAAACCAGCTGTCAGGCCACCTACGAGTTCTTGCATAAATGTGCCTGAGTGAGTGAGTGAATAAGAGAGGTAGCCTACCTGTAAGTACAAGATCTTGTCATTGTTTTATTGTGTCTGTCTGTGTTGATCTGAGGAATCAACCACAGTTCTCACCTTCTCATACCTGACACAGGTATAGGTGAAGACACCCGACGGTGTATGCGTGTTTATCTGTGTGGTATCACGACATTACACTCGTCTGTGAATGTGAGCTTCACATACACCACACATTTAGTATTGTGTGATATTATTATTGTGCATGTTATTGCCTGTCCCATTGACAGTGTATTTGTGATTTATTGCATATCATCATTACCCGAGTATCCGGTTGGAACTCTTGTGATCCCTTTGCATACCGGCAGTTAGGTTTGCCGTGTTAATGATTGGCTGTCAACTGTGTTAAGTTAGGTGTTTCTCCACGAGTGGATCAGAATCGATTAGCCAGACGTCAAGAGTCTCGCTAATGCAACCATAGCCTTTCTGACGCCAATCTAAAGTAAATCAAGCACCCTTTGTATTAGTGGTTAAGTTAGTAAATAAACTACTGTTAAGCTTTATGCGGTGTTTCCGTTGAACCACTTCTGAATACTGCCAACTATTTACTCAAGCCTTCAGCTCCAGGTGTCTTCAACACCGAGTTGCCTATATTCACTAAACTATAAATGTGATGAGGACCCTAGGAGTCCCTTAAAGTGTTAAATCATTGAGGAGATTCCAACGATCAACGTGGACCAGGACCAGGTGAGGCTAGTCTGAGAAGAGACCCTCAAGGACTCTAACTCGACCGTGTAAGGTTGCTCTCATATTTTCTCTGCAGATTCCGACAGCTTCGTGAAGCGTCTGCCACATGTACATTGGCGACGTACGCATTGCAGTCGGGAAAGCAAAATAGAAAACCCCCATTCATGAACAAATGCTTCGCTGACGACTTTTGTTTGAACCACAACGCTGTAAATGCTTCACCCACGGACTACAAATACAAATAATCGCGAACAGAACCTAAACACCTAACCTAACCAATGCCTAAATATGCACAATATGTTATTATATAATAATATTTATATATGTGAAAATTCCTATTTTGAGTGAACATCATGTTAAAATTTATGAATGCGTCGTTGTGGGTCGACTACTGGATGAAATGGACTGGGTCTGAGGACAGGTGTCAACAACACACTTAACATTTTTTCAAGATAAAAGTGGTTTGCAAACATTTATATTTGCGAATATAGTTAATATACTATATATGAATAATGGTATCCAGAGCTTATTACACGTCAATAACAGAAATAGACAGGACAATCAAAAAGTATTATAAGTCATTATAATTTAATAATAATGACAGCTGTAAGACAAAGTGAAAGGAATAGGAACTATGTAAAGTGAATATTTGATTTATGAGAACAACTATAATTAAATTAATTAGGAAATTAAATACATGACGTAACAGTATGCATAGTTGACCAAGTAATTACGTGAGACAGAGAAAGAGAGAGAGAGAGAGAGAGAGAGAGAGAGAGAGAGAGAGAGAGAGAGAGAGAGAGAGAGAGAGAGAGAGAGAGACAGTTACATAGACAGACAGACTTGCGTTACAAATATGACATGTGAAATGTTCGATCATGTATTACGTAGCATGTAATTCCTTGTTATTTGATCAAGGAATTACACGCCATGGAGAGGTGGGGGGGGGAACCTGCTGCATGGGTAACATCTTCTCCCCCGTACTTATACTCAACGAGGACTACGTGATCTCTCTCCTGTCATATATTATTTGATTGTAGGGATCATAGAGGCTGGCATTGTCTGCGTCGTCTGCTGGCATTGTCTGCGTCGTCTGCTGGCGTCGTCTGCGTCCTCTGCTGGCATTGTCTGCTGCGTCGTCTGCTGGCATTGTCTGCGTCGTCTGCTGGCATTGTCTGCGTCGTCTGCTGGCATTGTCTGCGTCGTCTGCTGGCATTGTCTGCGTCCTCTGCTGGCATTGTCTGCTGCGTCGTCTGCGTCGTCTGCTGGCGTCGTCTGCTGGCATTGTCTGCTGCGTCGTCTGCTGGCATTGTCTGCTGCATCGTCTGCTGGCATTGTCTGCGACGTCTGCTGGCATTGTCTGCTGCGTCATCTGCTGGCATTGTCTGCTGCGTCGTCTGCTTGTATTGTCTGCGTCGTCTGCTGACATTGTCTGCTGCGTCGTCTGCTGGCATTGTCTGCTGCGTCGTCTGCTGGCATTGTCTGCTGCGTCGTCTGCTGGCATTGTCTGCTGCGTCGTCTGCTGGCATTGTCTGCTGCGTCGTCTGCTGGCATTGTCTGCTGCGTCGTCTGCTGGCATTGTCTGCGTCGTCTGCTGGCATTGTCTGCTGCGTCGTCTGCTGACATTGTCTGCTGCATCGTCTGCTGGCATTGTCTGCTGCGTCATCTGTTGGCATTGTCTGCTGCGTCGTCTGCTGGCATTGTCTGCTGCGTTGTCTGCTGGCATTGTCTGCTGCGTCGTCTGCTGCCATTGTCTGCGTCGTCTGCTGGCATTGTCTGCTGCGTCGTCTGCTGGCATTGTCTGCTGCGTCGTCTGCTGGCATTGTCTGCGTCGTCTGCTGGCATTGTCAGCGTCGTCTGCTGGCATTGTCTGCGTCGTCTGCTGGCATTGTCTGCGTCGTCTGCTGGCATTGCTGCGTCGTCTGCTGGCATTGTCTGCTGCGTCATCTGCTGGCATTGTCTGCTGTGTCGTCTGCTGACATTATCAGTATCGTCTGCTGGCATTATCTGCGTCGTCTGCTGGCATTATCAGCGTCGTCTGCTGGGCATTATCGGCGTCGTCTGCTGACATTATCTGCGTCGTCTGCTGGCATTATCTGCGTCGTCTGCTGGGCATTATCGGCGTCGTCTGCTGCGCATTATCAGCGTCGTCTGCTAGTAGAGGAGATTGGTCATCTGGCGGAGAAGCAGAGACAGGCAGACAAAGAAGAGAGGTCTGCTGCTGGACCCACTACTGCTGCCAGCAGACTGAGTCTTCTCTCCACTCGCTGCAACAAACAACGACTCATTAGCAAACACCCCACTGAACCAGGGACTCCTCAAAGCATTCACGTGTTTGCGGAATTAGACGAGAACTCATTAGATGAATTAGATGATTAGAACTCATTAGATGATAAAAGTGTCATTAGACGAGAACTCCTGGATGGATATGAAGAAAGTAGAACAGTGCAAACTGGAACTAGCAGGTCCATTGTTCATCACAATGAAATGTGTGAAGTAAAACATGTGTATGGGGCAAGTAACAAAGTCAGTAGACTAACAGATGTTGTCACAGCTCGTATAAGACTTGGCTACAAGTATCTCTGGCAGTTCGGCTTGTATAGGGATCTAGATGAAGTAAAGTGTAAAGTGTGTGGACATAGACAGGGACACACACTCCAACACTATATCTTGGATTGTAGTGAAATTGAGCCATTTAGAGATAAATCAGAACTCACGTTGTATGATATGGCAACCTATTTTATTTCAAGGATAAAATACCTGAAATCCTTGCACTGTATCCATATTTCGCACCAGTAGAAAAACGACATATGAGATTAAGAAGCAAGTAGTATTTTGTGAAGAATAATAATAAACAGCAGTTTCCCTGTGACTCTGTAACATCTCCTTTGCTCAAACAAGTGTGAATTTGCGATAAGATCTACAATGTATGTATGATGACTTACTGTAAATATATAGCCCTTGAAATAGAACATTATCTGTAACTAGCTGACATTATAATTTTAAGGTGTGAAGGATAGAAGAAATTGTTTATGTAATAATCTAAGTTGAGATCTGATAAAGACCTTTTGTGCCCTCTGTAATGCTTTTTGCGCTACCGCTCACAGGATGAGTATGGGGTGCACAATAAACTAGCCGCTTCCGGCGTCAACAATAAAAAACCAATTCACGTGTCAACTGGCGAAGCCCGTACATCTCTCCTCGGTCATGGCGGCTGTGTTTGAAGGAAGGAAGGAAGGAACTATGAGGGGAGAGCGCCAAGCCATTACGACTATACAGCACTGGGAAGGGGTCAGGATGGAACGGGGAGAAGGGATGGTTTAAATATAAACAGTTTATGAGTTGCGAGACGCGAGGTTTTAACAACCTCAGGTCGAGAACAACCTCTTAGACTCCCAACTCGTAGACTGTTTCATCAATACGATCTTTAAGCCCTCATGACTGAGCAAAGATGTACAGGTTTCGAAGGTGGACCATTCTCTTCATCTATGTGGACAGAAAGTCACAATAACGAGCTGAACCTTAGACATCCAACCCCACACATCTGAAGATACCAATGGTCCAGGTGGGTCCGTCCTGGACCATTGTCATAGTCCATAATGGTCCAGGTTGGACCGTCCTGGACCACTGTCCCAAGACGTGACAGTGGTCGAGGAGGGAGGGGAAGGTGGCCACCACCTCCACACATGACAACATTCTCTCATGCCTCGGACGTTGAAGGATCTCACCACTAACCTGACTGCGAGGCCGAGGGTGTGATAGACACGCCTCCCTCCGGCGCCACTTCCCCGTCTCGTAGGCTCTGAAACAACATCACGGTGTAGTATTGGGTGCTTCATCAGGGTGTAGTATGAGGTGCTTCATCAGGGTGTAGTATGAGGTGCTTCATCAGGGTGTAGTATGAGGTGCTTCATCAGGGTGTAGTATGAGGTGCTTCATCAGGGTGTAGTATGAGGGGCTTCATGAGGGTGTAGTATGAGGGGTTCATCAGGGTGTAGTATGAGGGGCTTCATCAGGGTGTAGTATGAGGTGCTTCATCAGGGTGTAGTATGAGGTGCTTCATCAAGGTGTAGTATGAGGTGCTTCATCAGGGTGTAGTATGAGGTGCTTCATCAGGGTGTAGTATGAGGTGCTTCATCAGGGTGTAGTATGAGGTGCTTCATCAGGGTGTAGTATGAGGTGCTTCATCAGGGTGCAGTATGAGGTGCTTCATCAGGGTGTAGTATGAGGGGCTTCATGAGGGGTGTAGTATGAGGTGCTTCATGAAGGTGTAGTATGAGGTGCTTCATCAGGCTGTCGTATGAGGTGCTTCATGAGGGTGTAGTATGAGGTGCTTCATCAGGCTGTCGTATGAGGTGCTTCATGAGGGTGTAGTATGAGGTGCTTCATCAGGCTGTCGTATGAGGTGCTTCATGAGGGTGTAGTATGAGGTGCTTCATGAAAGTGTCGTATGAGGTGCTTCATGAGGGTGTAGTATGAGGTCCTACATCAGGGTATAATATGAAGTTCTACATCAGGGTTCAGTATGAGGCGCATCATCAATGTGCAGTATGAAGTCTTTCATCAGGGTGTAGTATGAAGTCTTTCATCAGGGTGTAGTATGAAGTCTTTCATCAGGGTGTAGTATGAAGTGCTTTATCAGGGTGTAGTATGAGGTGCTTCATCAGGGTGTAGTATGAGGTGCTTCATCAGGGTGTAGCATGAGGTCCTACATCATTGTGTAGAATGAGGTGTTTCATCAGTGTGTAGTGTAAGTTCCTACATCAGGGTGTAGTATGAGGTGCTTCATCAGAGTGTAGTATGAGGTGCTTCATCAGGGTGTAGTATGAGGTGCTTCATCAGGGTGTAGTATGAGGTGCTTCATCAGGGTGTAGTATGAGGTGCTTCATCAGGGTGTAGTATGAGGGGCTTCATCAGGGTGTAGTATGAGGTGCTTCATCAGGGTGTAGTATGAGGGGCTTCATCAGGGTGTAGTATGAGGTGCTTCATCAGGGTGTAGTATGAGGTGCTTCATCAGGGTGTAGTATGAGGGGCTTCATCAGGGTGTAGTATGAGGTGCTTCATCAGGGTGTAGTATGAGGGGCTTCATCAGGGTGTAGTATGAGGTGTTTCATCAGGGTGTAGTATGAGGGGCTTCATCAGGGTGTAGTATGAGGTGCTTCATCAAGGTGTAGTATGAAGTGCTTCATCAGGGTGTAGTATGAGGTCATACATGAGGGTGTAGTATGAGGTGCTTCATAAGGATGTAGTATGAGGTCCTACATAATAGTGTAGTATGAGGTCCTTCATCACGGTGTAGTATGAAGTCATACATCAGGGTGTAGTATGAAGTCATACATCAGGGTGTAGTATGAGGTCATACATCAGGGTGTAGTATAAGGTCATACATCAGGGTGTAGTATGAGGTCATACATCAGGGTGTAGTATAAGGTCATACATCAGGGTGTAGTATGAGGTCATACATCAGGGTGTAGTATGAGGTCATACATCAGGGTGTAATATGAGGTCATACATCAGGGTGTAGTATGAGGTGATACATCAGGGTGTAGTATGAGGTCATACATCAGGGTGTAGTATAAGGTCATACATCAGGGTGTAGTATGAGGTCATACATCAGGGTGTAGTATGAGGTCATACATCAGGGTGTAATATGAGGTCATACATCAGGGTGTAGTATGAGGTGATACATCAGGGTGTAGTATGAAGTAATACATGAAGGTGTAGTATGAGGTCCTACATCAGGGTGTAGTATGAGGTCATACATCACGGTGTAGTATGAGGTAATACATGATGGTGTAGTATGAGATCATACATCAGGGTGTAGTATGAGGTCATACATCAGGGTGTAGTATGAGGTCATACATCAGGGTGTAGTATGAGGTAATACATCATGGTGTAGTATGAAGTAATACATGAAGGTGTAGTATGAGGTCCTACATCAGGGTGTAGTATGAGGTCATACATCACGGTGTAGTATGAGGTAATACATGATGGTGTAGTATGAGATCATACATCACGGTGTAGTATGAGGTCATACATCACGGTGTAGTATGAGGTAATACATCACGGTGTAGTATGAGGTCATACATGATGGTGTAGTATGAGATCATACATCAGGGTGTAGTATGAGATCATACATCAGGGTGTAGTATGATCAACAAGATTTTTTACGTAACACAACATTTATGTAATATATAAAAAAGTAATTATAACTTGAACATGTAAAAACACTTTATTCACATTGTGTAAATAATTAATTGTTTACTAACTCACTGCACTATGAGTAGCCTGACTCACCGTGAACCCTACTCACTGGAGATAGAAGATAATGTATATATACTTATTAATTTTAAATATGGACAGACTTGCTTGGCTTGGTTAGGATACATTAGGATAGGTTAGGTTAGGATGCATTAGGATAGGCTAGGTTAGGTTAGGATATATTAGGTTAGGATACATTAGGATAGGTTAAGTTTGGTTAGGTTAGGATGCAGTAGGATAGGTTAGGTTTGGATGCATTAGGATAGGTTACATTAGGTTAGGATACATTAGGATAGGTTAGGTTAGGATGCAGTAGGATAGGTTAGGTTAGGTTACGATACAGTAGGATAGGTTAGGTTAGGTTAGGATACAGTAGGATAGGTTAGGTTAGGATAAATTGCGATAAGTTAGATTCAGAATACATTAGGATAGGTTAGGTTAGAATACATAAGGATAGGTAAGATTAGGTCTGTTTAAAAAGTAACAATGATATAGACAGAGTAAACGTTTCCCATGTCAAGAATCCCACTCCGAAGTTATAGCCTCACCTGCAAATCTTGCCCTAGCGCCCTCTCCTTGTGTGGCGGGGAGTGAGAGGGCGGCCCCAGGACCTCCAGCAGGTGCTGCTCGCTCTCCGCCAGCGTCGCCTGCAGGGTCTCGTAGTAGGGACACGTCTGAGGGCACGACAACCACCCGCTCAAACCTCCAGTCTCTCCCCAGCTTGGTAAAGCATTATATTGTATGTGTATTTATGAACCTTGTTGATTTGAAGTGTTTAAATTGGTTGTTATCTCAGAGGAAACGCCATACTTTTCTGGCGTACGGCGTACGTCATGATAGACGTCGTCCATCATAATAGACGTCGTACGTCATGGTAAACGTGGTCCATCATGCTAGACGTCGTCCATCATGATAGACGTCGTCCATCATGATAGACGTCGTCCATCATGGTAGACGTCGTCCATCATGGTAGACGTCGTCCATCATGATAGACGTCGTCCATCATGATAGACGTCGTCAATCATGGTAGACGTCGTCCATCATGGCAGACGTCGTCCATCATGGTAGACGTCGTCCATCATGGTAGACGTCGTCCATCATGGTAGACGTCGTCCATCATGGCAGACGTCGTCCATCATGGTAGACGTCGTCCATCATGATAGACGTCGTCCATCATGGTAGACGTCGTCCATCATGGTAGACGTCGTCCATCATGGTAGACGTCGTCCATCATGATAGACGTCGTCCATCATGGTAGACGTCGTCCATCATGGTAGACGTCGTACATCATCACCTGGTGGAGGAATAGATGCACCAGACGCCCGTATCAAACCTTTACTACCTGGAGCGACTCACCTGTCCCTGGACGATGGGAACCATCTTGCTGGGGTCGACCCCCATGTTAGCGAAGGCGAGGTGGCAGCGGTCGATGGTCGAGGGAGGCAGGACGGGAGTCCGGCCGAATACCCAGGCAAACTCGGCCCGGAAGCCGAAGTACTCGAGGCAGGAGTACACGCAGGCGTACGTCCGGTAGTCCGTAGCCACGATCTGTTACCACATCAGGAGTGAAGAACATCATTAACGTCGAGCGAGGGATGTTCTTGAAGGTGGTGATGAGGAAGGATGTACGCTAAGCCACAACAACACTTGGACGGGATATGACGACAAGGGTTTAAGATATGACGGAAGAAAGGAATAGTGCCCAGCCACTTGGGCATTCTGGGTTATGGTGCCCACCCACTTGGACATTCTGGGTTATGGGTGCCCAGCCCCTTGGACATTCTGGGTTATGGTGCCCAGCCACTTGGGCATTCTGGGTTATGGTGCCCAGCCACTTGGGCATTCTGGGTTCTGGTGCCCAGCCCCTTGGGCATTCTGGGTTATGGTGCCCAGCCCCTTGCACATTCTGGGTTATGGTGCCCAGCCACTTGCACATTCTGGGTTATGGTGCCCAACCCCTTGGGCATTCTGGGTTATGGTGCCCACCCACTTGCACATTCTGGGTTATGGTGCCCACCCACTTGGGCATTCTGGGTTATGGTGCCCAGCCACTTGGGCATTCTGGGTTATGGTGCCCAGCCACTTGGACATTCTGGGTTATGGTGCCCAGCCCCTTGGGCATTCTGGGATATGGTGCCCAGCCCCTTGGGCATTCTGGGTTATGGTGCCCAGCCACTTGGACATTCTGGGTTATGGTGCCCAGCCACTTGGACATTCTGGGTTATGGTGCCCAGCCCCTTGGGCATTCTGGGTTATGGTGCCCAGCCACTTGGGCATTCTGGGTTATGGTGCCCAGCCACTTGGACATTCTGGGTTATGGTGCCCATTATGAATTAATATATTTTCTCTAATTTTTTCCTTATGAAATGATAAAGCTACTCATTTCATTATGTATGAGGTCAATTTTTTGTTATTGGAGTTAAAATTAACGTAGATATATGACCGAACCTAACCAACCCTACCTAACCTAACCAAACCTATCTTTATAGGTTGGGTTAGGTTAGGTAACCGAAAAAGTTAGGTTAGGTTAGGTTAGGTAGGTTAGGTAGTCGAAAAACAATTAACTCATGAAAACTTAGCTTATTAGGCAAATCGGGCCTTATATATATATATATATATATGTATATATATATATATATATATATGTGTATATATATATATATATATATATATATATATATATATATATATATATATATATATATATATATATATATATATATACACAACTGAATAGAACTTACGTATCTCCGATTTTATATCTACATTTGAGTGAGGTGGAAGGGGTGATGTGGCATTAACACAAGACAGAACAAAATGTGGTATTAATAGGGTATTAATTTCATCAACACAAGACAGAACAAGGGTATTAATAGGGTATTAATTTCATCAACACAAGACGGAACACGAAACAATGGATATTGAATAGAAGTGTTTGTAGAAAGCCTATTGGTCCATATTTCTTGATGTTTCTATATTGGAGCGGAGTCTTGAGGTGGGTAGAATATAGTTGTGCATTAATTGGCTGTTGATTCCTGGTGTTGACTTCTTGATGTGTAGTGCCTCGCAAACGTCAAGCCGCCTGCTATCGCTGTATCTATCGATGATTTCTGTGTTGTTTACTAGGATTTCTCTGGCGATGGTTTGGTTGTGGGAAGAGATTATATGTTCCTTAATGGAGCCCTGTTGCTTATGCATCGTTAAACGCCTTAACGTTTAACATCGTTAAACGCCTTAACGTTTAACATCGTTAAACGCCAAGCGTTAAACGGAAAGTGAAAAGCCATGCAACCTCTGAAGAGACAACTAACACAACACCTATAACCCCTATTAGACTATTTTACAGGAACTTCTTTTCCACAGCTCATAAAACGGAGGAAAGGGTCCTGAAAGATATTGTTAATAGAAACGTTATCCCTACAGACAAAAATCAGAGGATACAACTGACGATTTACTATAAAACCAGAAAAACGGCCAGCCTACTCATGAGAAACTCTCCAGACACAAAACAGAACGCTTTAAAAGAGACTAACGTCGTCTATGCCTTCAAATGCCCACTTGGGGACTGTAAGCTCCAAAAAACCCAGTATATAGGCAAGACAACAACATCTCTTTCTAGGCGTTTAACGATACATAAGCAACAGGGCTCCATTAAGGAACATATAATCTCTTCCCACAACCAAACCATCGCCAGAGAAATCCTAGTAAACAACACAGAAATCATCGATAGATACAGCGATAGCAGGCGGCTTGACGTTTGCGAGGCACTACACATCAAGAAGTCAACACCAGCAATCAACAGCCAATTATTGCACAACTATATATATATATATATATATATATATATATATATATATATATATATATATATATATATATATATATATATATATATATATATATATATATATATATATATATATATATAAGATTATATATATATATAAGATTTCTTTGTATACATTTATTATACAATTTATGAGTAACGAAACACTACGATACACACTACACACAGAAATCACAAAACCGTGATGCATCAAATGTACAAATCCACAAGTGCCGTGACGAGGGTTCGAACCAACGTCCGATTAGGAAATGTAGATGTTTATCTCTCAGAATGTTCGTTAATATGTTTATTGTTTGTGATGTGTGTATACGTATGTATTAACAAGATGTACTGAACGGGGTGAGAATAGCTTGAGCTACCTCATCCCTTTGTTTGTACTTTACCTCAATAAACTTATTTCAATTTCAATTTCAATTTCAACGTCCGAGAGCATCCCAGACGCTGCCTTTATCGACTGCGCTACGACATGGTTAAAAGAATTGCAACCAGAAGTTCTACTGCCCTTACTTCCATCCTGCAGCCTCTCCGAGACACACACCAGAATTTTAAGCAATTCCCCCCAAGCACTCAAGCTCTGTCAATAAGCCGTTCTACCTCTTTGCCCTTACTTCATTACACATTGACAGAGCCTATTGACAGAGCTCGAGTGCATGGAAGAAGTGTGTAAAAATCTTGATTTGTGTCTCGGAGAGGCTGCAGGGTCCAAGTAAGGGCAGTGGACCTTCTGGTTGCAATTCTTTTAACCATGTCATAGCACAGTCGATTAAGGCAGCGTCTGGGATGTTCTCGGACGTAGGTTTGAACACTCGTCACGACCCTTGTGGATTTGAAGCACTATGAGTTTGCTTGAAAAGAAAGCAAAGATATACAGGTTTCATAAATGGTTGCATAAATGCTTAATGATTCCTAGTCCAGATGGTTGCGGTTAGCCTCTCGCAACTTTCCATGGTGAGTTGTTCTTGTATAGTGACAAAAGACGGTTGGGGGTGGACTCCTACCTGGTATGGAACTCTGGGAACTCCGCTAGCCACAACAGTCATGTAGGCCGGGTGCGGGTCGTCGAAGGTGTCGGTCTCCACGTGCATGATGGCTCCTTGACGCACCTTCCTCTTCTCCTCCGTCAGGCCCCGCGTCGCCACCTCCATCTGCGTCCCTGCAACACCACCACAACACACTTAGGCGGACGGAGACGGAGGAAGGGAGAGACAGAGAGAGACAGAGAGAGGAGAGACAGAGAGAGGAGAGACAGAGAGAGACAGAGAGAGGAGAGACAGAGAGAGACAGAGAGAGAGAGAGGAGAGACAGAGAGAGAGAGAGAGGAGAGACAGAGAGAGAGGAGAGAGAGAGAGAGAGGAGAGACAGAGAGAGAGAGAGAGGAGAGACAGAGAGAGAGAGAGAGAGAGAGAGAGAGAGAGAGAGAGAGGAGAGACAGAGAGGGAGAGAGAGAGGAGAGACAGAGAGAGAGAGAGGAGAGACAGAGAGAGAGTGAGGAGAGACAGAGAGAGTGAGAGAGAGGAGAGACAGAGAGAGAGAGAGACAGAGAGAGATGAGAGACAGAGAGGGAGAGAGAGAGGAGAGACAGAGAGAGAGAGGAGAGACAGAGAGAGAGAGAGGAGAGACAGAGTATGTGTGAGAGATCTATTTATTGCTTGAATAAGTGCTTGCAAGATCTAACTTCGTTAGTTGATGTCCAAAGTGTGTCAGGTTGGATGTCATTGGAGACGAGTCCAACAGTTCAACAGTTAAAAAGGTCAACAGTTGTGATATGGGTCATCTGGATGTGTTCCAATGGAGTCACAATAGTCAAAGTGCCAGTGGAAACGAAACCCCTACCCGTAGGTTATCTAGAGGTTATCTTGAGATGACTTTGGGGCTTAGCGTCCCCGCGGCCCAGTCGTCGAACAGGCCTCCTCGTTGCCGGACTGGTCAACCAGGATGTCGGACGCAGTTGCTCGCAGCCTGACGTATGAGTCACAGCCTGGTTGATCAGGTATTCTTTGGAGGTGTTTATCAAGTTCTCTCTTGAACACTGTGAGGGGTCGGCCAGTTATGTCTCTTATGTGTAGTGGAAGCGTGTTGAACAGTCTCGGGCCTCTGATGTTGATAGTTCTCTCTTGAACACTGTAAGGGGTCGGCCAGTTATGCCCCTAATGTATAATTGAAGCGTGTTGAACAGCCTCGGGCCTCTGATGTTGATAGAGTTCTCTCTGAGTACCTGTTGCACCTCTGCTTTTCAACGGGGGTATTGTGCACATCCTGCCATGCCTCCTGGTCTCATGTGGTGTTATTTCTGTGTGCAGTTTTGGGACCAGCCCCTCTAATATTTTCCATGTGTACATTGTTATGTATCTCTCCCGCCTGCGCTCAAGAGAATACAGATTTAGGCTCTTTAGTCGGTCCCAAGAGTTAAGATGTTTTACTGAGTGGATTCTAGCAGTAAAGGATTTCTGCACGCTCTCCAGGTCAACAATTTCTCCAGCTTTGAAAGGGGGTGTCATTGTGCAGCAGTACTCCACTCTAGAGAGCACAAGCGTCTTGAAAAGTATCATCATCGGTATAGCATCTCTAGTGTGAAAAGTTCTTGTTATCCAACCTGTCATTTTTCTTGCAGTTGTGACGGCTACTTTATTGTGTTCTTTAAAGGTAAGGTCTTCCGACATGAGTACACCCAGATCCTTTACATTGCCTTTTCGCTCTCTTATGATTTGCCTGAGTTTTGTTTTGGTTTCCGTTTTTATGTTATCATTTTTTCCATAGCGCATGAGCTGGAACTTATCTTCGTTAAACACCATATTATTTTCTGTAGCCCATAGAAAGACCTGATCTACATCTGACTGGATGTTCGCTGTGTCCTCTATGTTGCCTACTCTCATAAAGATCCTAGTGTCATCTGCAAAGGATGATACAGTACTATAGATTGTGTCCTTGTCCATGTCCGATATGAGGATAAGAAAAAGTACTGGAGCAAGCACAGTACCCTGGGGGACTGAGCTCTTCACGGTTGATGGACCGGATTTGATTTTGTTGACTAATACACATTAGGTTCTATTAGTCAGGAAATTGTAGATCCACCTGCCTATTTTTCCGGTAATTCCTTTTGAACGCATTTTATGTGCAATAACACCATGGTCACATTTATCAAAAGCTTTTGTGAAATCTGTGTAAATTACATCAGCGTTTTGTTTGTCTTCCATAGCATCTAATGCCATGTCATAGTGGTCCAGCAACTGTGATAGCCAAGAGCGCCCTGTTCCGAAACCAAAAAAGGGATCTCATAAGGGAGAGAGAAAGAGAGAGAGGCAGAGAGAGAGAGAGAGAGAGAGAGAGAGAGAGAGAGAGAGAGAGAGAGAGAGAGAGAGAGAGAGAGAGAGAGAGAGAGAGAGAGAGAGAGAGAGAGAGAGAGAGAGAGAGAGAGAGAGAGAGAGAGAGAGAGAGAGAGAGAGAGAGATGGGTGGAGTGGGGAGAAAGGGAGGAGGATACTACTCAAGAATGGACTCTTAAGTGTGGTCGTCTGTGAAGTAGACTCTGATAGCCATTCAATTGGTGGTAGTGAAGCAGAGGGTAGTGTTCTCGTGCCCTTGTGGAGACTTACCTCCTCCAACACTACCTCTCATCCCTCAGGCTCACGCCTGCATGCTCGTAACTCTCAACTCTACATGTGAAAGACAGGAAATGCTAACGACTATGAGGGTCATTAATCACAGTTCCAATAATGTTCCTGTTGTTGGCAATTAGCATATTAGACTTGTGCCGATGATAATAAGAGCTTGATGTTGCAACATGAGAGTCATGCAGTTGAGTGCCACCACTCTAGTGCTCTGTGATGAAGCTGTCATCTTACTATTGTAGTTAGGATGGTGAGTGAAGATGAAGAGCCACGTTAGGATGGTGAGTGAACATGAAGAGCCACGTTAGGATGGTGAGTGAACATGAAGAGCCACGTTAGGATGGTGAGTGAAGATGAAGAGCCACGTTAGGATGGTGAGTGAACATGAAGAGCCACGTTAGGATGGTGAGTGAACATGAAGAGCCACGTTAGGATGGTGAGTGAAGATGAAGAGCCACGTTAGGATGGTGAGTGAAGATGAAGAGCCACGTTAGGATGGTGAGTGAACATGACGAGCCACGTTAGGATGGTGAGTGAAGATGAAGAGCCACGTTAGGATGGTGAGTGAACATGACGAGCCAGGTGTTGAGCCTAGCAAGGAAGGCAGCCAAGACACAGCCCCAAGACGCACCTTCTGGAGAGAAAGTTTGCTAGGCCTTATGTAAACCTTAAGTTTGCTTCCATCTTGAGTATACAACGTTCACCTGGATGATTCACCCCCCTTCCCCCCCCCCTTTCCTCATCCATTGTCCATAACGCAGCTCCATCTTTGACCCATCATGGTTGACCCGGTTAGTACATCAGTACCGTCAACACCGGAGACTTGTCAACAGCTTTACTCTTATGTAAAAAACTTATCTTCTCAAGGTTCTGCACCTGGACCAACTTCGTGGACAACCAGAATTTGGCAACCGCAACACAAGGCGCTCAGCCATCAGCAGCCTCAGAGTTCACTTAAAGATAACTTGGTGAAGGATACAATGGATACAATCCATTGGTGACGGATACAATCACTGGAGCACTAACTCTGGACAGAAGAGCCTCCAATAGCAACAGGTGGACCCATTGTGCGATAAACACCATCAATACATTCGATATAACAAACACAGTCACTGAGAAGGGTGTCGACGAAATACATGCAGACTTTGTTATGCAAGCCCTTGGGAATCTCTGCCAGCAGACTGTAAGATTATGGTTATTGAAGGAAAGAAGAACCAGACAAATCCTCATCTGCTACGTAACATTGCACAGATGCATATAGACGCAAACTTGGCATCCGACAGCTTCACTTACTTCACGGATGGGTCAGTAGACCAGCAGGGACAAGAAACCGGAGCTGCAGTTAAAGCAGGAAACTGCAAATAGTTGGAGACTCTCAAATGGGTGTTCGACTTTACAAACAGAGATGCTAGCCATTCAAAAGGCTTTGGAACATGCTCTTGCTCAACACCGACAACATGTTATTATACATACAGATTCGAGAACCGCCATTGAAACCTTGCAACAAGAACACATATGTGATAACATACATCTGATCATAAATGTCATATCATTAATGCAAACAATCAAACGACAAGGTCGACGGGTACTTATCAACTGGGTGCCAAGTCATGTGGGAATGATAGGAAATGACATTGCAGACGAAGCCGCAAAAGTTGCAACTAAGAAAAGAAATGTAGACATTTACATACCACAGAGTCTATCACAGATTAAGAAAGTAATTCGAAACAGAGCAATGCAAAAGCTGTACAGTGACCACAACACAGCAGTTGCAACATCAGGATCTGCGGGTTGGTACAAGAATTCAACCAATTACGAACCACTTAGTTTGATGAAAGGGAGCAGTAGAGCAACAGAAGTTCACTTACATCGCATCAGGCTTGGATACCCATGTGCATGGGAAATAGGCTTACAGGTTCCGGAAGATGAGAGGAAATGTCAACACTGTGGAGAAATGCCCGACAGACCACTGCAATCTAACCATCTGGAATCTGGACCATCTAACACAGTCACATATATTATCTAACACACTGTCAGCTACACAAGTACCGGGTGTCAGCAAGTGTCACACTGTCAGTCACACCAGTACTTGGTGTCAGCATGTGTCACACTGTCAGTCACACCAGTACCGGGTGTCAGCATGTGTCACACTGTCAGCCACACCAGTACCGGGTGTCAGCATGTGTCACACTGTCAGCCACACCAGTACCGGGTGTCAGCATGTGTCACACTGTCAGCCACACCAGTACCGGGTGTCAGCATGTGTCACACTGTCAGTCACACCAGTACCGGGTGTGTGTCACACTGTCAGCTACACAAGTACCGGGTGTCAGCAAGTGTCACACTGTCAGTCACACCAGTACTTGGTGTCAGCATGTGTCACACTGTCAGTCACACCAGTACCGGGTGTCAGCATGTGTCACACTGTCAGTCACACCAGTACCGGGTGTGTGTCACACTGTCAGCTACACAAGTACCGGGTGTCAGCAAGTGTCACACTGTCAGTCACACCAGTACTTGGTGTCAGCATGTGTCACACTGTCAGT